TAAAATAAAAGTGAAAAATCTCAGCGGCAGCAGCARCTGTGTGGGATCAACAATTCAAATCCCAGATTTGGGTTCCCATGCAAAGGACGGGAAATGGGGAAAGGCGCAGGGAAATGAGAAATGTGCAAATCAGGGCAGGGCAGGAGGATTCCTGCTCAAAAAAACCACACAAAAGTCACCTAAAAATTCATATTTGTACAAAAAATACCAAGAAAATATCGAGTTACGTCACCAACATCTTTCTCTTCCACACCCACATTGATAAATAACTATTCTGTTCTTTTATTCCTTAATTTTTTTCCAGTTCTGGTCTTTTATTCCCTAAATTTTTTCCATTTCTGCTCTTTCATTCCCTAAAACTTTTCCCCTAAAAATAAAATTCCCCAGTTTTTCCTCAGAACCTCCCCCCCACATACAATCACCAACAAAACTCAGTGAGAAGAAAAAATACAATTAAAATAAATTAAAATAAATTTCCCCAATATTCCCTCAATCCTCACCAAATGACGACGAAATAACGCAAAGAACTGAACGCACTCTGAGGTTTTTCACATAAAATTAAAAGCTTTTTAGTGTTTAAAATAGCATTTACACGTCAGCAGCTATATATTAACTATACAGACACTTGGATTTTAATACAATATCTACAAAAAAAAAAAAATTTCATTTATGCCATAAACATTGAACAGTGCAGTCCATGCTAACGGGAGGTCACTCTTGGAGTAGAACCGATTCTGGGTTTTTATTTTATTTTATTTTATTTTAAATTCTTTTTTTTTCTTTTTTTTTTTAAATTTCTTTTAAAATCAACGTCGCTTGGCGTTTCCTCTCTACTGTACATAAAAACTCTTTCCAGGTATTTCTAATCACTGATTAGAATTAATAAATTTTAAATCGATCTCCGTGATAATCCAGTTAAACGCAAAACAAACAAAAAAAAAAAAAAAAAAAAATTACATCAACCTGTCAAGTCTCAGGAAGGGATTGCTCATTTGGAGAGAACAAAAATCATTAAAAATAATTAAAAATCACCGTCTGTGCATCGTTATTTCCAATTATTATTTTCCGATAAAAAATAAAATTTTGGGCGAAGCGTCCTGGGCATTG